GCTTGGTGCTGTGACCACTTCCCTGGGGAGCCTGTTCCAGTGCCCAAACACGCCCTGGGTGAAGAATCTTTTCCTGATACCCAAACTAAGCCTCCCCTGACATAGCTTCATGCCATTGCCTTGGGTCTTGGTCACCAGAGAGAAGGGATCAGTGCCTGCCCCTCCACTTTTGTTCATGGGTAAGCTATAGACAGCTATGAGGTTTTCCCTCAGTCTCCTCTTCTTCAGGCTGAACAAACACAGAGGTACATAAATGGAACACAAAGACACTGGACATAAGCTGAAACCAGGGAGGTTCAGCCTGGATATGTGGAAAAGTGTTCCCACTATGAGGACAGCTCAGCACTGATACAGGATGCCCAGAAAGGCTATGCTGCCTCCAACCTCAGAGGTTTCAAAGACCCAGCTGCATAAAGCCCTGAGCGACCTGGTCTGACCCCAAAGTTGGCCCTGCATGATGAAGAGGTTTGGCTGGAGACCTCCTGCAGTCCCTTCCCACACGAGCTATCCTGTCATCCTACAGTGCCCAAGGCCATCCTGTGCCCAAGACACACAGTGCATTTGTGGCTCAGCAGTGCCAAACACTGTCTTTCCTCTCTAGGAACAGGATTAATGACTGCATCTTCTCCCTTGCTGGGGGACCTCCACCAAACCCACAGCTACCAGATGGCCAAAAGCTGCCTTCCCCCAGCACTAGCAGAGAGAGGGGGAGCAGGGAGCCTCCCGGCGCTCTCCCAGGCATCCCTAACCACAACATATTGTTCTGGGCATCGCACAATAACCCCAGACAGAGCAGGGCGTCATGGGGGGGTGGGATCCACAGTCACGTCCTGGCTGCTGCACATCACCCCCAGGAACAAAGCCTTGTGGGAGGGCAGGGAGCTGTGTGCCGAGCGTGGGGCACAGGAGGGATGAGGAGTGCAGCCCTCTTTCCTCTGTCACAGTCGGCATTTCATTATCCAAACCCAGCCATCGTAAGTCCCCCACTCATCTGGTAACAATAATGAGCCAGGGAACAGCTTGTCCTTGTCTGGCACCACGGCACTCATCAGGCAATGCAGCCAGAGTGCATCTCCCTATGCTCCCAAGCCTGATCCATTCTCTACAGCCACCTGAAGGGAGAGGGTCAGCCTCTTCTCCCAGGCAACTAGCAACAGGACATGGCCTCAAGCTGCACCAGGGGAGGTTCAGGTCGGACATCAGGAGGAATTTCTTCATGGAAAGGGTTTTAAGCATTGGAACGGGCTGCCCAGAGAGGTGATGGAGTCACCATCCCTGGAGGCATTTAAGGAAAGACTGGAAGTGTCTAGTTGCCAAGGTGATGATTGGCCTAAGGTTGGACTCGATGATCTCAGAGATCTTTTCCAGCCTAAGTGATTCTGTGGTTCCAAGTCACACCTCTTCCATCCTTCCTTGAGCACAACATGAGGCCAGAGATGGAAACTGGAGGTCTGCAAGTTCCTGGGTAAAATTCCTCTCACTTCATCACCTTGAGACCTTAGCTCAGCACAACCCTTATAAGAAATTGTGCCCATAAAAAATAAGCTGCCCTTGGGTTTTGACTCTATTTAGTAAGTATTATTCTGAGGGTCAACAATATGGGGTTCTTGCTAAGGGCATCACTGAACAGCTAATGATGTATAGTGGCTAATGGGGGTGGATGGATGGATGGGAGGATGGATATCTGAATCCTGGGAGAAATGAATAGCCCGCAGTTTGAGATCAGTGAACTGACGGAGTGGACGGATGGAGGCAGTAGCTGGTTTTCCTAGGGGCCAAGGAAAAACAAAGAGAAAGGGAGAGATGAACGCTTGTCTGTGTACTTTGGATGGGGTGGTTGTTTGTTGTTATATTATCTGCTTTCCTGTTTCCCTTGCCTCCTGTCCTTTCAGTGAAGCACTGTTTTGATAAATTCCTTTGTTCACAAGTGGGGAAGGATAGCCGGGAAGGGAAGAAGGGGAAGGATGGCTGAGGCATGAGGTGAGGGAAATAGAGCAGAGGCAGAATGGTGGGGGAAGGCTTTTAGGGCAGGATAGTCCCTGGAGTACCCAGGCTAGTTTGACTAAATTTTCCCAGGATTCTGGCTGGAAATTAGTGACGTGTTTTTGAAGACCCTTAGAAATTAGGGGCTCCTTAATTGTTCCCTTGCTGCTGCCCGGAAGGCTGTATTTATTACAGAATTGCCCCAGATGCAGCATACAGAATTTTGAAGGCTGTGACCTGGCTCATTTTCAAGGACAACTTGCTCCATAGACACTCCAGCAGCTTGTCCAGTTCCCTCAGTCTCAGGCTTTTAACCCCAGTTATCGCTGTAGCCCCAAATGACCATCTCTATTTACCCTCTGATCCCATATGACCTTGGACTCAGCTCTGATGCAGCAGTCATACCCATAGCGAGTATTCTTCACCCACAGGCTGCCTGAAACCATCCTGCATCCCCACCCTATCGACTCCCTTGCATCAGCTTTGGTGTTGCACAGCCTCCACACACCAAAACTATTAATCTGGCACAAAAATAACTGAGTGAAAAAAGGGAACAGGCTTCTGCTAAGTCAGCACTGAATTATCCAGTGCAAAGGCAAAGATAGAAAGGAGGATGAGCTGGTCGCCCAGAGCTGCAGGAGAAAAGACAGGAATGAGACCTCCATGTTGGCAAGCTCTTAGGCTGGTTCAAGCTCATCTGTTTAAGTCATGGCTGAAAGTGATTTGAGCTCAGAGAGTGGGACTTATCCTCTCTTCTCCCTGTTATCCAGCTGGAGTATAACTGGTGGCAAACAGTGGAAACCATCACAGGAGAGGGTCTGAAAAGCTGCCAAGGGAATGGAGAAATTGCCCAGTCTACAGGGAGGACCTGGAGGCTGGTGAGATGGGAGGGACATGTCCCTGCCATGAGTTGGCCCATTACATTTTCACTGGTTTACACATCCAGCCATGTTATTCTTTCCAGCAATAATTCCTACTAAAGATCCTCTCTTCCAAAGTCATTTAGCACTGGGGCTAATTCTCAGTTTCCTGGAGGAGGATTTGCACTCAGTTAAAATGTGTGAAGGCAGGAGAGTGCAAGACTGCAGGGAGTTTCCTGCAAATTCCTCTTGCCTCATAAACTGGTGTATAACATAAGGCTAGAATTCCCTCGTGCTGGAGGTCTTCCTCCCTGGGTCTTCCTCTCCTTTGAAAGCTTATTATGGCATAACCAGCTCCTTATACAACCCACAGAGTTACTCTAACCAATGTAAAGTCTATAAATTAGTCTTTGAGCTAGGTCTGCTTACGTGATGAATAAATAGCCTGGAGTGATTTAAATCAGTCGAGCTTGGGTGAGGCTTTTAAATAGTTGTGCTGGACTGCAGGAGCCTAGGGAAGATGTGAACACCTCGCTACCTCCAAGTTACTTTGCCCTCCTCCCTGTGGTGCTGAGGATATCCAGTCACTGCCTGGGCCCCAGGCAGCTGCCTACAGCCACAGCAGGGTGCTCCGTGCACACTTCCAACTGCTCCAGCAGAAAGGCTGCCCAGTAGCACTCGGCCAATGCAGAGGGGAACACCCAGCACTGCCAGGACTGAGGTTGCACAAATCCTGGTGACTCAGAGACTCGGCATGTTCCCAGGCTCTGTCACCTACATCTGCTGTGAGTGATATGTTACTAATTCCCCTGTTGGTTTTCTCTGTGTCATCTCTGACTTCAGCCTTATGTTCCCACTGCCACTCGCCTGCTGAGCCCTCCCCATCCTGGGGCTCCTCCATATCCCTCACCATCCTGACAGACACAGAGAAGACTTGTTTGGCTTCCTTGCCCACCACTGTGCTGTGACCTGATACCCATGGGAGCCTCTGAAGGGCTCTGGGACCTCATTCCTGGGTAGCACTAACCCAGGTGGAGGCAGTCCTTGCCCCTCTTCAAGGACACTGAGAGTTACATGTGCTTGTATTGCCTGGTCAGGCGCTACTATGTTTTCTGTGCTGTCACCTTTAACTGCTCTGAATAACTCTGTATCAAATATACATCAAATATGATGTACAGTGCATGGCCAGCAGAGCCCCTGTGAGCTACTTCTCCCCATTACAATCCTCCCTCTGTGAACACCATTACCTGCATAGCTCACAGGGGCTCTGCTGTCCCTGCACTGCACATCATATTTGATATATATTTGACATGGAGTTATGCCCTTTGTGCCCTCAGCCCATGGAGCCCCCCTTACATCAGGGGGATGGGGGGCTGTGACTGAGGTTATCTGTGATAACTCAGCAATAAGATCCACCCTGCTGGGTGCAGCTGGGATGCTGAGCACGGTCAGTTGGGAAGTGACATTTTCCAGGGGCTCCAAACGCAACCCCAAGGCTGCACAGCTGGCTTTGAGCTCTCGCTCGAGCAAAGAAAGCGGCATGCTGTGCTGAGTGAAATGAAGCCTGCTGGGGTAGGGGTGGTAAGAGTTATTTGCTGGATCATCTCTGAATCAGGAGGATTTAGGCTGGATTAGGCAGTGGCTGCTCATGCTACTCTGACAGTCCTGCAGGTGACACAAGGCATAAAACTGGCACACCACGTGTGCTGGGTAATCTGACACAGGAAGGATCTTGCATCCACAGCTGACATGAATCATAGATTTGCAGGGGGGGTTGTTTGGTATCTGTATTTGATGTTGAACTTACAAGAGAGCACAACTCTTCCAGGAAAGCAATTGGCTTTGGAAACTCATACTGAGCTTTGCAGTGCTCTCTGAGGGCTCTGCCCCACCTCAACCCCACCACCCTCTTGCCACTTCCTGGTGCTACTCAGGTCATGCTTAGAGGAGCAAGGCAACACGGGATCCTTTGCTTACCATGAAGCTCTTGGCTCTGCTGCTAATGCTCTGATCATAGCTATACCACTTAATTTGCTGCTTTGATTTCTCCAGTTTCAGATACACCCATAAAAAATAATATTCATCATTTTTTATTTCCAGATTCATGACCACCAAAAAACCCCCACTGAGAGCAAGGCTCAGGTTTGTTAGCCTCAGACCCAGAGCACTTGCACCAAGGAGAAGGAAGGGAATGAGGAAGGGAGTAGGAAGGTGAATGAGGACACTGTATGATGTGCCCAGAGTCACAGTGCTTTTGGTGAGGCTGAGATGAGCATTCAGGCTTCAATATCTGGACCTCACTCCTCAGCTGAACCTCCTGCAGAATAAGACTCCATATAATCAAAGGGATAAACCCCCAAAACAAGAAGCATTAGCTTTATATGCATCCATTATTTTTCCTTGGAAATGTGCAGATGTGACTGCTGGGCTTCCTCCACATGCCCTGGGCTGGACACACAGGCAGCTGTGGCTTTTGGATGGAGATAAACCATTCTGCATTACAGCACTTGCATTGCTGTACTGCTTGGGGGGTAGGAAGGAAACTTCCTTGAAGTAAGCCACTGACCTGGAAATGATTTGAAATGCCAGCACTGTTGCCTCTGTCTTACCAAAGATGAAGATACAGGGCCAGCTGTGCTTCAGCTGCAGCCTCACCTCCCCATCTGCTGGTTATCCCACAGCCCTTTCCCTGGGCGCAGGGCTAAGGTGGTGTTCATGTACTTAGCCTGGCCATCGGCTGCTCACCTTCTCCTTCCTTAAGGTCCTTTGGGAAAACAGGCTCTCCAGCTGTGTATCCACCTTTTCTAGAAGAGAGAGATCAGGTCAGGAGTGATGGCAATCAAACCTACATCCAACAGTGCCACACTTCACTTCCCAGCTGCCACCACAGCTCCCTGGCTCCTGGCCCTGTTGGTACCGAGGAGTACCAACGCAGGAAATCCATCAGTGATAACACACCTGGCTTGAAACCACTGTGTTTATATTTATGTATATGTCTATATCTATATATATTCCTGCTGGGAACATCTGCTCTTGGTAGACATTTCCCTTTCCAATTTCCTGGAGATCATAAGGAGGGCCAAAAGGGTGAGAACACCCACCCAAACTCTTGTTTCCCTCACCCGGGGAAGTCTATGGGCTTTGTTGATTTAACTTCCCACTTTATGTTAATGCAAGTTATAATTGTGGTTTCTATATGAGTAGGTGCTGTGAATTTTCCCAAGCAGCAGATACTTTCCCATAAAAACCACAGGATGTAAAAATGTTCTGTTCCTACAGAAGATGTGCAAGCGATGGTCCATGTACAGAGAATGAGAAATTCTGGAAGTAAATTATGTCTACCCCATTAGTTTGGCTTCTTTTATTGCAAATAAGTGATGAGAAATCACTTCCCAGAATGCTCCTGGTTTCTACAGGATGAAGCAAGTGATGGGGCTAAATCCCTGGAAGTGTTCAAGGACAGGCTGGATGGGGCCTTGAGCAACATAGTCTAGTGAAAGGTGTCCCTGACCATTTCAAGGGGCTTGTAACTAGATAACCTTTAAGGTCCCTTCCAACCCAAACCATTCTATGATTCCATGGTTCTGTAGCATATTCTTTAATATTTCCCAAAAACCTTCTTTTGTTGAAACAATTCCTCCAATTTCATGAACATGCTTTAATCAGCCTCAGATGACTAAGCAGGACCACTAGTTTCTCCTTGCAAGAGGAGAAAGCTTGTCACTGGAGAGAAGATTTCTGGTGGCAAACCAGGTCAGTGGCTGCCTCTCCATCACTCACTCGGATTTCCACCACCATCTCAGCAAAGACACACTAAGCGAAGACATTAAGTCTCTGGTCAACATGAGCAGTGAGGTTCACCAACTCTGACTAAAAAAAATCCTCCTTCTTGTTTTTCAGAGTTAGCAGTTCTGTGACCTGGGTGTATTTGCATGACTCACAGGGTGGCTCAAGAGGGAAAAGGAACCAGATGCAGGGAGGCAATGAGGAACTTCTTGAGCCACTGCTGCCACCAAAAACACTTAACACGAAACTCTGAACTCAGTCACCCGCTTCCCTATTTTCCTTTAGAAGACTGACAAAAGTGGAGAAGCAGCAATTCAGTTGTTAATAAGCAATTTATGTCTCAGCCAGTATGAACCAGTCTAGGCAGCGTGACTGGGGTTTGTCATTACAAGGGCTGTGAGGGGGGGGAAGCGATGGGGGATTTACAGATCAGCCTGCACATTTTTGGATAATCTGTGGACTGCCTTTATGTTCTGTATAAATAATAATAATTAAAAGCGGATGTAACTAATTGGAATCCATTCCACAGCAGTAACATGATCCATCTTATTGCCAATCCCCTGAGTCACTCCATCCTCCAGATGATTATTTTTCTGTTTTTGCCTAATAAAATCTGAACACTACCTTTCACAAACCCAGGGTGGGTTTGTGCTGCCAGGGCATTTGAAACCCTCTTCTAGCTTGGACAGCTCTGCACCAAGATTTGCCCTGTATGGAGCTACACACTTTTAAACTTAAAATCCTCTCCAACATCCACCAGCCTGATGTTAACCCAGTTGTGTTATTGCCTATTATTTGCCCAATTTATTTTAAATTAAAAGCGGCCATGGGCATCCCATTTCTTCTGAACAGCCTTACTGTGTCTTGGTTTGCATTGTGACCTCTATTTGGGATGAAACTCCCCTTCATTGACCTCCTGGGAAGAGCATGTTGTTCCTGGGTTTGGGGGCCCCAAGGGAAGGCAAAGCCCAAAACAGGGCTCTGCAGCACTAGCACAGCAGCACAGCCAGCTGTGGAGGAACATCTTCTCCCTGCACATGTGACGTGGTCAGTCTTCTCCCCTCCTGGGAACAGCAGTCCTGCCACTGCCACCCCGGCTCTGGGAGGGAAGCTCTTCTCCAGACTCATTCCCAGGCTCCCAAGGGTCATTACTCCCTTCTAGCTCCCTTCCAGAATTAGAGATGGAGAAAGTATGGAGAGAAAGTATGGGGAGAAAAAGTCCACTTTGTCTAGGAGAGAAGCCTTCTAGCTGGATTCAAACCTCCCTCAAATCAGAATGGGGCTTCTTGTGGGCTTCCAAAGGGCTTGGATAAACCCACATTCCTGTAGACAAAGAACACCACCTTTTATTTTCCTTTTTTCTTCTTTTTTTCTCTTTTTTTAGATGGATTTTTATAGGTTCTGTGCTGCTTACTCTGGTGTGGCAGTGAAACTCTCCCTTGGTTCAACTGCCTTCAGGATGCATCCAGAAGGTGACTATTGGTCAGTAGGATTTGTGCATGCTCTGGAAATCAGCTGTTGGACTGTTTTCCTCAGCAGAAAACCAGCAAATTTAGAAGACCCTGATTAGCCATACCTGGGGGTGCTCTGGTCTCCTGGCCAGATTTTGGAACAATCCTGAAGCCTCGTCTCTGTAAGGACCTCGGACTTATGTTGCAACTCTGGCCCCATCTCCTGTTCCTCCTGACTTCTTGGATACTCCTAGACCTGTTTCCATCACTTGCCACAGCTATCGATGGACATTGTAACCAGCACCCTGCTCAGATGTTGCAGGATGGGCTGTCAGAGCACTATCTGTGCTGGGGTCACCCTCAGCATCCAGCTAATCCTCCTCCATGGAGGGATATGTCTGCTCCCCGATGCAATTCCTCCACCACAGGGAAATGTGCTGCACATTCACAGAGTCATAGAATGGTTTGTGTTGGAAAGGGCATTTAAAGGTCATCCATTGCCAACCCCCCTGCCATGGGCAGGGACACCTTCCACTAGACCAGGCTGCTCAGAGCCCAATCCAACCTGGCCTTGAACACTTCCAGAGATGAGTCATTCACAGCTTCTCTGGGCAGCCTGTGCCAGCGCCTCACCACCCTTCTTGTAAAAAAGTTCTTCTGTATATCTGTCTGATATCGGAGAACAAGAAAACCAAAATAAACAAAAATCCCACCCCAAGATTTCATGGTGCTGAACACCCATCCTGCTGCAATTTCTCTGTGCTCACAGCCATGGAACACCTGAGCTTCACCCAACTAAAACCACCAAGGGAACAGAAACCACTGCTGCCCCATGGATTGGGTGGACAATGGGATGGATTTGGGGTGGGGGGGCCCAGGAGGGTTTGAGAGCACAGGAGGGTTTGAGGTCACAGGAGGGTGTGGGAGCACAGGGGCATGCAGGGGCACAGGAATGTGTGGGGACATAGGGGTTTGAGGGCTCAGGGGGTGTGGGGGGCCAGGGTTTTAGCAACACAGGGGCTCTGGGGGCACAGGATGGTTTGGGGACACAGGATGGTTGGGGCCTACAGAGGGAGCAGGGGCACAGGATGGTTCAGGTGCACAGGGGCTATGGGGACACAGGAGGCTGTGGGGGCACAGGATAGTTTGTGCCCACAGGGGCTGTGGAGACACAGAATGGTTTGGTCCCACAGGGGCTGTGGGGGCACAGAGCTGTGAGGCTACAGGATGGTTTGAGGGCACAGTGGGCTGTCAGGGCACTGTTTGGCGACATGGGCTGTGGGGGCACAGGATGACATGGGGACACAGGGGGTTTGGGGTCACAGGGTCTGTGGGGGCACAGGATTGTTTGGGGGCACAGGATGGTTTGAGGGCACAGAATGTTTTGGGGGCACAGGATGGTTTGTGCCCACATGGTCTGTGGGGATGCAGGGGGTTTGAGGGCACCGGGGCTGTGGGGGGCACAGGACGGTTCGATCCCACAAGGGCTGTGGGGGCACAGGACAGTTCGGTCCCACAGGGGCTGTGGGGGCACAGGACAGTTCGGTCCCACAGGGGCTGTGGGGGCACAGGACAGTTCGGTCCCACAGGGGCTGTGGGGGCACAGGACAGTTCGGTCCCACAGGGGCTGTGGGGGCACAGGACAGTTCGGTCCCACAGAGGCTGTGGGGGCACAGGACAGTTCGGTCCCACAGGGGCTGTGGGGGGCACACAATATTTTGGGGGCACGCGAGGGCGCCCTCGCTCGCAGCCGCCGCGCGGGCGGGTGACGCCACGGCCGCCGCCCCGCCCCGGCCCCGCCGCACCGCCCCCACGTGGCGCCGCCCGCCCGGCAGAGCCCGGCGGCCCCGCAGGCAGGTGGGAGCGCGGCGGGCGGCAGGGCCCCCGCCCCGCCCGGCCCCGGCTCGGCCCGGCCCGGCCCGGCCCGGCCCCCACCATGGGCGACCGGCCGCCGCCGGCCCCGCGCCCCGCCGCCTGAGGCAGCGCGGCTGCACGGGCAGCGCCTCGCCCGCAGCCCCCCGGCTCCGCCACCATGGGGGCCGCCGAGGCGACCCGGAGCGCCGCCGGGATCACCGGTGTCCTCACGGTGAGTGTGTTTGTGTGTGTGTGTGTGTGCGCGGGGCTCGGCGTGCTCGGTGCGAGGCTGCGCCGTCCGCGCAGCATCCGCGTGTCCGCGGGGTGGGTGGGGACGTGCTGCAGTGCGGGGGCAGGTGGGCAGGGGATGGGTGTATCAGAGTGTATCTGGGTGTCCTGCGGCCCCCCCTCCCCGCCGGGGGGTGTGCGGTGCTCCCCTGTGCCTTCCCCGCGGTGTGCTGCCCACCCAGTCCCGCAGCCCCAGGTCCTGGCAGGGAACACTGGCTGGGTGGGATATTCCCTGCGATATCCATCCTTCCCATCCCCATGTTAGCGCAGGCGGAGGCATCCTCCATCCAGGGCTGTGCCGCATAGCCAGGGCTGAGCGGATCCTTGTTCTGCCCTCTGCCCCGCTCCTGGAGCTCGGCACTGGGCAGAGATCCATCCATCCACCCATCCACCCATCCGTCCCAGCTGCTTTTCTTGCCACCCTTTGGCCAGGCAGCAAAGCTCCCCGTAGCGAATGGCAGGCAGCTGCCTCGACTTATCAGGGAAATGTTTTCCGGCAGCTTCATCTCCACATCTACCTTCCCAGGTAGGGCCCTTCCCAATCATCGCTTTAGGGCTACATCCCGTCTATTTTGGGGAGAGATGGTAATTCGGTGTGTCAGGCAGACGCCGCAGCTGCTGCGGCTGAGTTGTGTAACCGAGGAGAGCACTTGCTCTTGAACTCAAGGTGGATCTGAGCAAGCTGGCGCTGGCTCGACAGGAATCCGAGTAAACAACAAATAATCTGAAGCTGGAAGGGCATTAGCTGGGAAACAGCCTCTGAAGGCAAAGGGTAACTTGGGGCAGCGGCGGAGCAGATAGGTCCGTGCGCGGTGCTGGCCGTGCACTCCCGAGCGCCGGGTTCCCGCTGGGAGAAGCAAGTGCTCTCTGGAAGATGAGATGCTGATGAGGAGCTTGAGATATGCAGCTCCAGCTAGGATCCTGGAGGTCAGTTGGGAATGAAGGGGAAAGGATGATGTAAAAGGTGTTGGGAAATAGAATTCTGGAGAATAAAGTGAGACTAAGAGCAAACACATGTATGTTACTTGTGTGTTCGCACACTTCTGTGTGTGTATGAGCAAATGAGCTGTAAGACAAAATTCCCATTTGCTTGTGAGCTGGCAGGATGCTTCCAGGGTTTTCATCCAATATCTTCAACATTTTGGGCATCTCCCTTTGGCCCAACAAGGAGTTAATGTCTTCCCAGCCTGAGGGAAGTGTGTTCAAATCCATAGCTGGTGGGTCTTATAGGGGTGCAGCAAACCCGAATCCTTCTGGCTGCTTTTTTTAGGAGCGGTAGCGGTTGCATGGGGCTGGTGTTGGCCATGGTTTCACTTGCTTGGCGGATTTTTTGGGCACCCACCAGCTACTGCAAGGTGGTTTCCACCATCTCCCCCACTGCCCTCACCTGGAACTTGCATTATGTCACCTTGCTTCAGCTTGGGGCTTTTGGAAACCTGGGGTATTTCATCTGTTTGGAGCAAAGCCATGGCTGGCAGGGATGCTGGTGAGCTCGGGTCTGCGCTGACTGCAGGGGTGGCTGCTAGGTTTTCCTTCATGGGGGCCAGATGTTGCAGTGCTGCTGTTCTGGCTCACTCATCTGCCTGCGTTTCACTCTTGACATCTAGTAAAGGAACTGCTGAGCAGCGAGTCCCGGACTCTGGTTTCACAAACCCCAAACCAGCTGAAATAGCTGGTTGTGTTGCAAGATGCAGAAACTTGCTTTTCTCTTCGATACTCTCCTCACAGGCAACTTTTTTTTTGGTCTGAGTAACTCGATCCTTTTTACTGAGTGGGGCAGGAGATGGGCTCCTCCTGTCTGCCAAGTTACCGTAAAACTTCCAGACCAGTTTATTTGTCTTTCTGGGGTTTTTGTATATTTATTTTTTTAATGTTGCAAGTGCTTTCCCGGTGCTGTCGGGAAAGGGTGCAGCTGGTCTTTGGGAAGGGTGGTGGGCAGTGCAGCTCATCCCCAACCTGTGCCAAGGCATCACCATGGAGCCAGCTGCTGTTTCTACCAAATTCTGTTGGTTTTGCTTGGAAACCATTCCCAGAATATCAGTTTAGCACTGTTGGTCCCTGCGCTTGCTTACAGCTCTACTCCTGTTCTTCTCTACTGGGATCAAGTGCCCTGCGTTTAGCTGCCTTTTGTCTTTATTTTACTTTACTTTACTTTACTTTATTTTATTTTTACTTTAGTTTTAGGTTTATTGCTGTGTCCCCGAAGGACTGGTAGCAGGGTGCCACTGTACACAACATGAGGTTACAACAGTCTTGGTGTCACAGCATTTTAGGACACAAATTTCTGGACAGAAGGTTGATTCACCAGCTTTCTGCTGGTGCTTTGACTCACCAGGCAGGTTTGGGTCCTGAGTGAGATGTGTATTCATAGAATCATAAAATGGCTTGGGTGGGATGGGACCTTAAAGATCATTTAGTTCCAACCTCCCTGCCATGGACACAAATGCCAACCACTAGACCAGGTTGCTCAGGTGTTCGCAGCAGCATCCTCTGTGCAAGTGCCCAGGCAGCTTGTGGACCCCCAAAAGCTGTTTATTGTGCAGGTTACCCATTGGGTTCCCCTGCAGCACACAGCTATTGAAAGAGGGTGATGGAGACACGGCACAGAGGTGACCACTGAGGTGGAGTCCTCAAGCTGGGTGGTGGTGAGGTGGAATGTGCCTATGCCAGCTGTGGGGTGCTGCTGCCTCAAGGGGTTGTTTGCAGCTGAACATGAAGGTCCCCTTGTTTGAGCGTTTCCCAATGTGGGGAGGCGAGAATGGTAGTGCCCCTCAGCCCAATCTGATTTCCTCATACCATAAAACCTTCATGTGTTCAAATAGGTGAAGGTGGCTGGGCAGTGCCTTTGCTCGTGCACTGCAGGGTGTTGGTGCTGAGCTGGGAATGCTCTTTGAGATTGTGGCTGCCCTATCCCACTTGACCCTTTTGGAAAGGGACTCCTGTCCCTTTTAACCCTTCGTTGTTAAGAGCTGCTCCTGCGTCGGGCACGGGGAGCATCGCTGAAACTGCTGAAACCAAATCTGCTGTGTAGTGTTGTCTTGCATCACAGTTTCTCCTGTGGTTTTTTTGTTACCCTATACACTTCCTTTGGTACCGGAGTAATGAAATGAAATGCAGCGGCTCAGCGGAGCTCGCTTTGTTACTTGGTTGCTTTTTTCACTGGCAAACTGGTGTTGTCAGCCAGAAAGACAACTGGTGTTGTCTTGTTCTGTGTGCTAGTGGGCAGCCGTGAGGGTGACAGAACAAACCAGCAGACACCCCTTTTTGCTGAGGATGTCCTTCTGCTCCTGGCCTTTGTTGCAGAGATCCAAGGGGTGCGAAACCCAAGCAGCTGAAT